ATATTAAATCTCTTCATTTTTTTGCACGGCAACGTTTGTTTATTTTGATGGTTTTGAAGGGAACACGGTTAAGGCAGAAACTCACGCTTTGTGCTCTACGACTGATATCACAGCTGATAAGATACTATGTCGCAGAACATCGTTTAAATTTTTTTCTGGTTTGTTTTTCTGTCTACGAGAGAAATCACACAAAAACAAAAACATTATTTGTTTGTAATTTTTTTTTCTTTATTCATACTTCCAGCCTCCACTTTCACATGAACCTGAAAGCCACATCTCTCTTCAGCTCCTGTGAGGCAAAATCAAGTCAAAGACCTGCGCACAGCGCAGGCCGGATTCTGTTGTCAGCGTGTTCGTGTGCACACTGCAGATATACACAACATATACTTACAGTATATTTATCGTGTATGAATTTCACTAAAAGTCTAGACATGAAAACATTTTCTTAAAAAAAAGGGAAGAAAAAAAAGAAACATACAGTAGATTTTTTTTCTCCAAAGAAAAAACAGCAGTACACGTTTTCTGAAGACACACTTGAAGAAGAGCATTTGTGTTTGATCAGCGGTGATTTTCAGGAGGTTGTGAGGGGTTCCTGATCAGCCGTACAAAGGCTGTTATAGCAGTGAGCTGCACGGTGGGCGCCGCAGTCCCACCAGCTCTGTGACAGGAAGGCAAACGCCAACGCTCAGTGAAGCAGGACCGTCACAAAATCCAAAACCTTCAGGTCATCGGGTTCACACGACAGCAAGAGTAACCATACAATCATTTTTCCCACAAAGGCTGACTGTGAGAGAACAGGCTAGAAAACAAACAGAATGATAATAAAAAAAAAAAAAACAGGAACAGATTGTAGCCCAGATTAGAACAATGAGAAACATGGGACGTCTAAACTCTTTTGCATATTTGTGAACATTGTTTTTAATCAAATCTCGACTATGAAAATCTTAAAGTTTTTCAAAGTTTAGCCACCGTCATCAAGCATTCATCACTCCTTAAACCACTGAGAATGTTTGTATAACATAAATAATAATAATAATAAAAAACACTTTGTGAAAAACAACAAAAAAAAACATTTCTGTCATTTTTTTCACCTTCATCATAAACACAAAGCACAACCCCACTCTAATGTGCCAGAGAAAATCTGGATTGTAAAAGCGATGCCTGCTAAACGTGTCATTTAACATTCAGATCTCCAGCTTTATGCCCTATTATTACTCTGTGCCCTCTTTAAACGTAATAAAGCACAAACACAAACACACACACACACACAGCAGCGATCCAGTCCTGAAGCTTTTTCTACTCTTCTGACCGTATTAGTCATTAACACTCTCTGCAGGCACTCAGTAAAAGCACATTTCCCTTTTCCTGCTCTGAAAATAAACGTGGAAGTGTGTTGGTCAGTCCTGCTGAGATCTGACCGTTTATTTGGGATCAATTTTAAAAAGATCTCAGTTAAAAAAAAAAAAAAACTAACTGGTTTGGAAGTCATAAATCCTCAGTCTGGTATTTCCTCTACATTCCCTTCCAAACTAAACATTTTTCTCCTTTAAATCACTCCCTGAACATACTTTAAAGTGCTTCACTTTTTTATTTAACAAGAGGAAGAAGGTCTTTATTTTCATTTTGGAAGTGCTGTAATGGGATCTCAGTTAAACTGCTGAAAGATGCTCTATAACACACATTTCCCAGTATATTTTTATATACTGTAGTACATGGCATACATGATAAATACTTTATTTAAAACAATATAATCTGTGACAATGCACTTCTTTTTTGTTTTGGTTCAATTTAGTTGTTTAAAATTATTTTTTCATGCTTCTGTACCCAAAACAGGCTCAGAAATGAAAAGGTTGGGAAAATATAATCTAGATTAAAAGAAATAGTTTGACATTTTGAGAAATTATTCTTAATTTTTATTTAGTTGGATAGCATACTTTTTTAAACTGGAGACAAAATASGTTTATGTTTATTTAGTCATTCATCGTACAGATGAAAATGGTTTAAATTCAATCAGCGTGCAGGTACGCAAAAAAAAGGTGTTTCTCAAAAGGTCAAACGGTCCCTTTTCAGCACATGGAAGTTATGCTGCTGAAGCAGAAACATGACCAGATCAGTAACTCGTATAGGTTCAATGAAGGGTTCTTCTCCAAAATGTCCCRCATCCATTCAGAAGATAAAAAAGTTCAATTTTAAATATGAGCAGTTATGATCATCTGCCATCATYCTGAACATTTATTCAACTTTATATGTGCTAACATAATGATGTTATTTTAAAAATACTTGAGATATTTTTAAGTTGTGGTCAGTGCAGTCATTAATATCTTACCTGTAGATTACTTTTCGAACAACCTCAAGTTGAAGAACTAGAGTTAATCTGATGGAACCGACGAGGTAACAGCTGACTTAATTCAATGTGGATTGCTGCCGTATAACCATAATATTTCTATGTATTTTACACTACACAGTTAGACATGTCAAACCCTTCGGATGATTATCTGTATCTTGACCATTAGAATTTTGTAATTTTCAGAAAAAAATCCATAGTACTCTCAAACAATATAGCATGGGTTGAGGGGGTTTGGGGTGGATTCTTGGGGGCGGACATAACAGTGTCAGCTCTGAAACTGAAATAAATTTGAATCAAAGTTTTTGAAAAAAACAACAAGATTTTCTCTATACATTTGTATACATGCAAATTTATGAACAATCCGTACAACTTGACATGTCTGCACAATCGTTTACTTAGACTTTTCTGTATCTCGGCAAACAAAGCTGCAGTTAGCTGCAGCTAGCTACACATAGCTAGCCACAGCTGTCACTATTTTCAATATTTCTAATGGAATAACTAATAYTTCTAGTGTGCAAATAATGGCAAYGTAAAGSTTTATAAAATAGTGTTAGTTTAAATGTGCTGCTAGCAATATACTTCCTGGCTGTTAGCTCATCAGTCCAGTCAGAACTACACTCTATATCTTCAAACTGAGGTTGTTTAAAGTGGTAAGTACAAGAAATAAGACAATAATGTTTATTTTTTTACTCACTGATTAAATCCCCATTTAAAAAAAATGTAACTGTCCCTTTATGTTGTTCCTTGTAAAAGCATTTGTTGCTTAGTTTATTTTTCTTTATACTGGATACATAAATTTGGAACAAAACTCTTCAGCTGTAAACTGGACCCTGATGGGACTAAAATGCAAGGCGGCATCCAAATACATGAGCATTTAACATAAAAAAGGCAGTCTGACTGCAGGAGCCAGAAATGGAGAAAATATGAAAAATGTGGAATGGTAAAAATGTCACTCTTTCCAACACGCACACATTCACCCACACACACACACACGTGCGCGAACATAATCGCGCGAATGCAAATCATATAGCTGCACACTTGACATGTCACAGACATATCTGGCATGCATTTTCTTAGAATTAAACACTTTTCAGTAGAAAGTCTTCAACTGGTCTAGAGCTCTGATAATTTCTGTATGTACATAAATTAACAATAAATATAAGCAATGTTTATATATATATTGAAATATATATTTTAAATAATGAAATATTGCTATATATTTCAAATATATTCATAGAACTCTTTCCAATTTAAAACATCTTTTAAAGAGATTTAATCACAGTTTAGTAATAAAACGTAAGAATACATGTCCCCCTCCTGGTCTGGCTGCAGAGTCCCCGTATTAAATAAGTGGTTGTGGTTAAAATATGGCCTTTTTATTTCTGAACAAATACATTCCACTTTATTAAAAAAGGGAACTAGTGTATTGTCAGGAAGGTAACACTGTGGTAGCGACCGTTGAGTTTGAGGTTAATTTTCTGCGGTGTTCCGACAGGGAACCAGCCCTGACTGGAACTGTGCAGACTTGGTTTAAACGAGGACTGATTAGTAGAGCTCCTCGTTCGGTTTAGTGAAACCAAGTTTTCCTCTGATGACCTGGAGGCTCGTTTAAGGGACGCTGCAGCAAGAACCTGGAGGGGACGACTAGTTTGGAACAGTCAGGAGAGTAAAAAGTCATTAAAACTTAAAAKACCCCTTTTTCTTTGTCTCCATCTCTTCTTCTGTTCTTTGTTTTTGTTTCTGTTAATTGACATACATAGACTGGAACTGGACCACGTGAACAATGACTGACTGAGGAGAGCTAGGCTGTCTACATGCATGCAGTAGTTCCTTTGTTATTCTGTACCACTCTCCAGTTGACATGGCTTACAGTAGGATGCACTTGGAAATAAAGACAGTAGAAGGAAACATTTATCCCACGGGTTTAGAGGACGAGCAAGTCTCCCACAATGCCTCAGTGATGTTGGGGGATACCTCAGCTCCAGTGTGCGTGTGTCCACCTATTCCCTCACGTGGGACGTTTGAACTCGTGTGCGCTGGAAACGACCACAGTTCCTCTCTCCGCGTCTTTGGACCCGCTCACCGTTGGTCTTCGTCTGTGTTCCCTCTGTGTTGCCGCTGGCTGCTCGCTGCGTCACAAACAGAACTGGTCCTATATTGCACGGCACGCCCTCATGGCCTCGCGGTGGTGCGTCAGTGATAGCGACTCTGCTTCTCCTCGGTCTCAGAGCTGTAGTCTCTCAAGCCAATGCCTCGCTGGAGGTTCAGCAACGAGTCTTTCATCTGAAGTGGGACAACAGGGCGGAAAAACAAGTGCTTTTGTTTTTATGGCAGAAAAATATACTTAGCACAAAAWGTAAGGAAATGCGTGTTTGGTAGATTATTTATTTGTTTGAACAATACTTCGTGGCAAAAAATCTTATATTGTTGGAAAGCCTGTTTATTTCCCTTTGAAATGTCACCACATTTGTAAGGAACATGTATTTGTTGGATGAGCAGTAGAGCTGAGGATGTGGGTTGCAAATATGAAAAACCTATGTCTGTTTTGCTGTTGCTATTGATAAGATTATAAGACTTATTGCCAAGAAGCTTTGTTACAAAAATCCGGAGCCCGCGAGGGGACATGGGTTGCCTGGTAAAAACCAGACCCTGTCCTTCACTTTGCTTCAAACAAGGTTCTGGACTTGCGGCTATAGAAAAGCGATTCTTGCTGGAGGAGTGGCCTCTGCTGAAGTGTTGCTGTGACGGAGGCTAAGCTAAGAAGCTAACTGGAAATCGCGTGTGCTGTAAACAACCCTACTGAGAGGAGAAAAGTACAGAGCCAAACGAGWYGACTGKWAATGAGAGCKGCTGCTTTGTCAGACAAATTTAATTTAATTTGGAAGCCTTATCAACACAGACTGGCTTCATTCACTTCCTCCACTGCCATTGCTAAACTATCAGACACTGCACAGAAAATCGACGTCGTTCAAAACTCCGCCTTCTGTTTGCTGATTGGCCCAGGTAAAATAAAGTACAAGCAGACACTGGACAGAAAACTGACGTTTTGTTCTCTGATTGGCCCGGCTAAAAATCCACAGAAGAAATCCTTGTCTATGGGAGAAATCCCAGACAGAGTGAAGGGAAACTAGAATTGAGCGGAACTGCGTAGGAAGGCAAGGGCCAGGCTAGGACATGGGGGGATAGTTTTTCTTTTGCGTTCCTACACAATACTATGGCGTTACTTTGCAATATCTTTGTGTTACCTCGCAAAACTTTTTGCGTTACTATGCAAAGGTTTGCATTCCCTTGCAAAATTGTTTTGCTTTCCCACGCAAAAGTTTGTTTTGTATATGAACTAAATGAAATGAAACTTTTATTTTGAAATATCCAGTTACCAAAACAGGATGTGTCGCCACAAGTTCGTGAAATTGACATTGATGTTGCGTGGTTGCACTGTGTTAAAATATCTGCATATGACATACTTCCATGCGTGGCTGTGTGATGTATTCATTCTGAAGCTGAATTAAAGCAGTAGGCTAACTCGCTAATGGTGAACGTGTGAGTTTGTTAATAAACCGGCAGGCACAACAGAGTTTAATGACTTTTGCGAGGGAACACAATACTTTTGCGTGGGAACGCAAAAAAAATCCCCCATGTCCCCTCGCGTGCTCAGTAATTTCCAACTAACATTTGCAAGCAGTAAAATAACTTCACCACATTTTATAAGATCTGATCAAAAGAAAATRTCTTTTATTTAATAAAACTGTTTTGACACAATGACTCAGTGTAAACATGGAAAATTAGCAAAGTGAAAAATTCAATAAAATTGCTATGAAACTGTAGTACCATGTTACTTTTGTTTTGTTAAAACTAAGAGGGCTTTTGAAGGCTTTTAAATTTATTTTATGTAATTTTATGTCTGACTTTACTGTTTTTATGCAGTGAAATATGTTTACTCCTGTGGTGTTGAATATAAACCTGTTACAGCTCTAAGTTAGTCACTTATAGTTAAGTAATGCAATAAAAAACCTGTTTGTCATCTTATTGAGCATCATCTCTGCTTCAGCAGCTGTATGGATATCAGTTTTTTCTTGGCTGAAAAATGAGACCTTGCAAGTTTTCTGTCCATCATTCCTTCACCAAATTAAAGTCCAGGCTCACTTGTGTTTGATGAAGGGGGTTGTTTAACTTGTCAGCTCCTGCATTGCCAGTCTGAGTCTTGAGTTACATTAGTATTAAGTGCAGAGAAAAATTCTCACGGCTTCAGCCCATGAAACCCTCCCTTTGTGTCTGAGTACCTGGTCCAGCAGCACCACAGACGACTTAATAATTTCTCTCCACTTCTGCAGTTCGGCATCATGGTAACGCTGCTGCGCCTCCAGGAGCTGGGCCCACTCCATCTGTGTCTGAGGCAGTTTACTGGCGAATGCACACACACACACACACGCACACACAGACAGACAGACAGACAACATCAGGGTGAACCCATTGAAGCATGATTTCCATTTAGAGGGACTGCCAATAAACATTTCAGTAAATTGTTTCAGTAAGCCCCAGAGCTATTCGGGGGTAATTTTAGAAACAGTGTTTTCCTGTCACATGAACAGCCATATGGATATAGTTTAGTCTGTAYGTTGGAGAGTGGGTGTGGGGGCAATGGTGTGATGGTGTTTGGTTTAGAATAACAACAGAACTCTGTTCAGTCTCTTTCCAAATTAGCTTTTTGCGTCCTGAATCCAGAAAGTCATCAATTGTACTGATTTGCTCTATAATGCACAAAGCCATGGTGTTCATGTAACTGCCAGTGTCTGTGTTTGTTTCTGTTAGAAAATATTTCATGAATGTTTGGATGGATTTTAATGCAGTTCTCAGTAATTAATCATTAGAGGTACACCTACAACTGATTGACTTTTGAAGTCAACTTACGTCAAGACGGCTGCCACAACAAATCAGTTTGAGAAAAGTGCCAGAATAACAGATAGTTTAACAACTAGAGAGCTAAACTGTGGTGTGGGTTGCCGAGAGTAATCCATAACATATACTCCGAGGGCTGCACTTTTCATAAAACAAACAGTCTTAACTGTTAGTCTGTCTGTTCAGAGAATATCGAATGAAACATTGATTAATTTTAATGACATTATCAGAATGGAATCTTTGGATGACGTACATCTTTAACACATTAACTTTTGGAGTCAACCACGTTCAAGATGGCCGCTACAGCCAAGTGAGCTCACATTTGGGCTGTGTCCAAAATGGTGGGCCGGGTCCCCTGAAGGCCGAATTCATCGACCGCATACGTCACAGCACCGTGACGGAGGCCGTCCAAAATCGAAGACTCCTCCGATGAGGCCAACAAATGTGTCCTTCCTTTGGCTCCAATCGAAGGACTGGTCTGATGGATCCTTCCCAGCCCAGCATATCCCATCATGCATTGCGGCCCGACCAGAGATTTTTTTATGCTAGTAATGGCGGACGAAGCAAGAAGAATACGTTTTAAATAAAAATATGGCGGTATAAAAACAGAAATGTTAATCGGTTGCATTTTTAATACTTTTATCATTTGTATAGACGTGTTTTTGAATGTTATTTTTGTCAGAAACAAAACAAACTTATATGGCGAAATAAACAAGCACCTACGGCGGGTCCATTAGCTCTTCAAATATTTCCTTTAAGTTAATTTTATTGTTTTGTGATTTTAATAATGCTAATATATTGATATTTTTCTACTTTTGATCTAATTTTGCTTCTGTTTAGCGTCGTCACATTTGCTAGGCGACAGCACGTACTCCGGGGTAAGGACGGGAGGCTGGAAAGTCCAAATTCACAGCCACTTTTTTCCGGTCTTCGTGGTCTAACAAGGACCTGGCCCACCTTGACCAGGTTGGCTGGGTCCTCCGGAGGATCCAGCCCACCGTTTTGGACACAGCCCTGGTGTGGTGGTAGTAGCTGAGTCTCATCCTCAACACATGTTTTAAGTCAGGGGTTCTCAAGCCATTTGGGTCTGGGGACCCCTTACAAGGGTGAAAAAAATTCCAGGGACCCCCTCATAAAATGCTGTTTTAAAAGATAATTTATTGTCATTTCAACCCCTAAATGCCACGGGAATATATGTTTTTATTAAGTTTATTATGTTTGTTTTATTAGTTCATTGTTCTCCATGCATTTTAAAAAATAAAAACCAAATTAACATTTTAGTAAAAAAATTTGAGGACCCCCAAAACACCTCTCATGGACCCCAGTTTGAGAACCTCTGCTCTAAGCGCTAACAGATTGCGAAAAACTTGTGCAATTGAGCATTCCCTATTTGATTTGAGATTTTACATTTGTCACTTTTGATGATAATCTTTATTTAAAAGTCAAGCATGAAAAACATTTCTTCCTAGTTTCATAAAATTATTATTTTTTTAATGTGCAGATAATAATAAGAATGTGCAGAATGTGAGTGTGAGCCTGGGTACCTCTCCTGCAGTCGCAGACTTTGCCATGTCGTTAGGGATTGTGCAGAGTACTCCAGCATCCACAGCTTATAGAAGAGCATCATGTTGAGGAACACGAGCAGGACCAGGCTGGAGGAACGACACAAGACAAACAAAATGGCAAAAACCACCTTTGCTTTTTTATTTTAGCAGCTCTAACTAGTCACAAAACATGTATACCTGAGACAGATCCTAGGGATGGCAATGAAGGAAAAAGAGAGAAGTTATACTTAAACGAGCAGAATATGAAACATCTTAATTGCAAATCAAAAACACCACAGAAATGACTGGAGAGGAGGGTGAAATGCAACAAGACTCAGAGACTGGATGACATGGGTGTGTGTGTGTGTGTGTGTGTGTGTGTGTGTGTGTGTTGCGTACACAAAGCTGATGATGAGCAGCAGTTTGGACACGCTGTACAGAGCCAGGCCTCCTGGCAGGTGGTGGTGTTCTGGACTCTGGTGTCTAGTCTGCGTGGAGCCCACCACTTGTTTGATCCTCTGAATCACTTCCTCGTCTGTCGGCGTGGTGACAGGGCTGAGGGCCTCGTCCAGATGCTGGCTGCGCATGTGGGGGAGCGGCCTCTTTTTCCGCCTGACCGTGGAGTTCTTCACCGCCTTGGCCTTCGGAGAGAGTTGGTGGGCCTCCGTGATGATCTCCTCCAGCTTCGACAGCTCCACCTCTGAGGGGGAAAAAGACTTTACGTCAGCGTGACACTTTTTCTACATTCTTGTATCAGTCAGACTGGACCAAAACACGTTTGCAATGTTTCACTGAGATTTTGGCAATTTTTATTATTGTTAAAACTCTGTTTAATATTATAATGAAAATGCTTCTTTAAATTATCCTAACAACACAAGGGGCACTTCATGTAAATAAAAATCTAGCAGAAAAGAGAAAAACATCCCATGATATCAGTTTAAGATCCTCTTCTTTGAATTAAAAACTGTCCAGTGTTAGGGTTCCTCCAGGTCCAGTAACAGAAATCAAGGCAGTTGAAGTCAGAGGTTGATTTGTTCATTTGATTAATTTTGACTTTTAAATATAAAAATGTGTTATTCACACTACACCACACTGCTTTAAAAAATACAAGCTGCTGCTCATATCTGTGATGCCATAAAACAAACGAGCCATTAGTGATGACATTGTCAAGGCACTGACATTGGTTAGGACCCACAGACTGTAAATATACTTCATTATCAAACAATATTAGTAAAGTTCCTATAATATTCTGGTCAACTTGCTCTGGTGTCTGCTAAAATCTAGCTTAAAGCTCCATCCTTGTTGTATAATGCTATAATTGTTCCACATTTAATTTACTGTATTGAAGTCTGGGGTAAAGCTTGCAAAACTATCACAAATCCTGTTTTTATTTTACAGAAAAGAGCACTAAAATTATTACTCTAAAAAATTACAGCCAGCCATCGAATATATTGTTTCATGATTTGAATTATTAAAATTCTATGATTTCATCTATTATAATAT